CCACATTTGAGGAGAAAACAATTATCGGAAATTTGATGTCAAACTTGTTAGTGTCTCCCCCATTTTGGCCACCATTAAAAATGCACTCAAGCTAAAGTAAATTCTTAAAATTAACATGACATTAGAGGCTCTTTTTTTGGGTTTTAGCCATGATACACCTATTGATTTATCCTTGTTCCCTCCCATATGTTGGGGCCTACTTCTTAGGCTATCATTTTCAGGGTTATGTCTTCTATTAGGTTGTTACTTTGATACCACGATTGGGACTAATGTAATAATTCATATTTTGACTTTCAATATACAAATTATATTTCAAGAGTCGTTATAAGTCCAATTTGTAAAACATCTTTCCCATAACATAGATATTATTGTGATTTAATTATAACAATTTTCTTCTAATTTTATAGGTAGTGTATATACAAAAATAAAATGTTTCTTGTTTAATTTTAATTCCTTATAAAAAATGATACATGTGTGTACAAGTGAATTTTTTGGGACCATTAGGTATCTTTTTTTCAAACTGATTTCTCCAAAGTCTTCTAGACATGTTGGGATATTTTATTAATTTTTTTTTTATATAAATTTTAGAGTTCCATATTTGAAGATATAGAAAAAATTATATGAATTTCATACTAAAAACTTAAAAAAAAAATTATAATTACCAATATATCGCTTACTTTTTATTATAAAAAATCCCAATCCACTTATATATTTTATCAAAAGTCATTCTTCATTCTTGTTTCGTTTAACAAAGAAGATAAATAGGGGGAAATGATAAAACAAGAGAGGGTAAGAAGAGAGAATCCTTGGGTTTGGGGATTGTAGAGTCTTTTTTTTTTAGGCGATTCAATTAAGAAATTTGCTAGTCTGGAGAAAGGCTATTGTTACCCTACATCTGATTTTAACGATTTTGTATTTTATGAATTTTAATTTGGTCAAAATTTTATAAAAATTGTGATATATCAATTTTTAGCAAACTTTTATCCTATAACTTTTAGTATGTTATAATTTTAATCATTCACACACATTGAAAAGAAATTATGTAATTTTGATAAATTTAGAAATTTGAGAAATGATTATTGAAATCTTTTTTATATGAGTATATGATATGCATACTTATTATAATTCAGCTATCGTGGATACATACATGTGAAAAAAACACTATTTTTTTTCATGAATTCCACTAATTTTTGTTCATATGCAAATTTCATATCCATGAATAAAATACAATAAACTAAACATTGAGTGTTGTATCAAATGCAAGAAAGACTAGCCAAAAATGATTGATCAATTCAAGTTGGTTGGAGACATATTATCCTATACAGGAGGGTGGGCAAACGGACATTCTTTTAAAATAAGATTTACGGTGTAATCTTAAATGATACAAAAAGGGAGGCATAAGGAGACATATTGATATGATATGATACGCCGACAAGCAGGAAGTGACGACTTCTGACATGATTATTGGCCGCCTAGTACTCTATGGCTCATAACAACGCTTTTGGACTCGTATATCTTTTCTTAAGTGCAATCAGTTAGTAAATTCAAGATATATGCACCCGTTGATGGTATTGGCGTTTTGGCCGCCTCTGAGCCCAAACGTTTGTCCCGTGTTTTTTTAGGTCCAAGATTCTGAATTTTGGCTTCCCCTCATATACATATGTTTTTTTTTAATTTTTTATTTGGTGGGCATATTTGTGTAGTTTTTATATTTTTAGTAATCCATTTTATAATGAGCTTAGACTCTTAAATTAAAATAAAAATCTTCTATGAATGACGAATTCTAAGAAAATGAAGATTTTCTCAATATAAAATTTTGACAACAATTGATAGATTCAATTTTTATTTTTAAAAATTTATAAAACAATATAAGTTTTTCTACTTTGGCCCTCAACTTCCATAATTTAACTTATCCGGCCCGCCATGCGATGTATTAAATGCCACGTTCATTCATATAAACAAATAAATTATTCTTCAATAACAACGTCTCATCGGTTCAATTGCATGTAAAATGGTGTGCACGTTGCATAATTTAATATTATTGGTCATACAGCTAGCTAAAGCTTCCATATTACGCTCTGTTCTTATCAGATTCTTCTAAATTTCTAATCGGATAAGATGAGTTGAATTTGGGCCCTGCCGTACAATGGTTAATAGTAATAATAATATTATTATTATCATTAGATTTAATGTAAAAATTAATAATATTATTAATCAATTTAATAATATTAAAAATATTTATCAACAAAACTTGATAAGAATGGTTTAGTTCCATCCTTTCAGTGAATGACAGCTGACTTATAATAATTAATGTGTGTCAAACAGAAAAATAATTACTTGAAAAATTAAAAAGATAAAAAAATTTTGATTGTGAAATAATTGGGGAGAATCTAACTAGGATGTGTTTGAATGTTTTGAGATGAATACAATATTGTAATTAATTGAATATTGAGCATCCATCGATCAAGGTCAATAACAATTATTACGTCCTCTGACCGGACGTAGAGCTACGTTCCACCGCCAATAACATGTCACCACGTGCTCTTACTCTTTATCGGGCAGCCCGACGACTTGACCCGGACCGGAACCCGGGAATGCTATGTTTGCGTACTGCTCGATATTACTCAGTATTTGCTCGGTATTGCTCGATATTGCTTGGCAATATCGAGAAATACCGCTCTGAAAAACTCAGTACAACTCGGTATTGCTCGGTATTACTCGGTATTGCTCAGTATTTGCTCGGTATTGGTTATTGCCGAGCAAAATCGACCAATGCCTAGGAATATCGAGCAATACCTAGCAAAATCGAGAAATACCGAGCCATCCTTGGTCCGTTCCAAGTCGGGTTGTCGAGGCGCGCGGTAAATAGTGATAATGCGTGGCGCGATTCTACTGGCAGCCGAACGTAGAGCTACGTCCTGTGACCGGACCAAATAAAAGTTCCAAGGTCAAGCACTACTTTTGATGCGATTCTCAGTTCTCAAAATTTATAAACTTAACTTGGCAATCATTTGAACTCTAATTTTGATAAAATTATAATCGAAATAAATATTTTCTATAAGATGAATCTGATGATATCAAAAATGACTTGATTCAAACCAATAGATCTAAATCAAACACTCAAAAGTATAATCGTAAGATTCACACTTCCGATATTTGAATATTACTTGTCATTAGTCAAAACAAGCATAAAAAGGAATCCATGATGCTCAAGATTATTCAATTTTGATGACATTAAAGTATTAAAATTATTGTATTATTAAAGAGATCAAAACAAACCATATGACTAAGCAGTTTAATTATTTATTGAGATGATTAGAATGTCACTCTCTAAAAATTATAAATAAACATCATTTATACACATTTGAGGATATTGAGATAGGGCTAAAAAAGGATTCCAAGGTAGAGAATCAAGAGCTCTGTTTGCGAAGACCAAAAATAAATGCTCGCCGATGACACCAACGTCGACACTGACAATCATAAACCAAACTGACACATGCTATCAACACCAATGTCAAAACTAACAAAGATGCTCGACATCAACATCGAAATTGATGATTCCCAATATTAGCAAGGTTGTCATTAACACCAATGCAAACACATACATAATTGTTGTATGTCATCGCTAACAACATAACTTCTAGTCAACAATAAGACTGACACATGTTGTCGACACTAATGCTAACTCTTGTTGTTCACATTAATGTTGATGCCATAAAGATCATTGTTTGTTGTTGCTAATAAAATCGATAGTCATTATCACCAATAAAAACTGACGCATGTCATTGACACTTGATCTACAACCATGTTGCTAACAAGCTTGACAACCACCTTTAAAACGATCACTAACACATCCTATTTACACCGACGTAGACGACTAATATCTCTAAAAAGTTTGTTACCCTCTACCGACAAGCTCTTTGTAATTTTCAAGTTAAAAATCTAACTCTGTCATGATCTACTTTTGACTCTCAAGTGTTTGCGAAGTACTTTCGGGCAATCTAATTAAGGCAAATTCACACACACGTTAGACTCTAACTCAAGAATTCTTAGTTGGTAGTCAAAACTTCCAACCAACATATCAAGATGAGTTGTGTTAAACTCTCTGTATTGATGCAAATATTCTAACATGCAAAAAATTCATTTATTACATTCCTTTCAAAAGAAATCTAACTAGTTTTAAAATCCATCATCACCAAATTTTATTTGAGAATATTAGAGATATTAGAAATATTGTATATATTTAGTTTCATTGTAATATGCTTTGACATACATTTACAAGTTTGCCATGTATCTTACTGCTTAAACTAAAAATAAACTCACTAGCTGCTCCGTAAGGGGCATCCAGTTTTCTTCAACCTCTCTTGTCATTTCCTGTTCTACTCTCTTCAGTTCTTGAATATCCACAGAGAATACCTTGACCCAATTTTTCTACTTCAAAGACACTCCTTTTCTAAAGATGTATAATATCGTCCAAATTTGAATTTTAATATATTATGTATAAAAAATAATAATATTTATATTATGAAAAATATGGCCTTGCTTGTTATTTAAAAAACAGAATAATATGAAGAGGCGTCTAACAATCTCATAGAAATATCTTCAGTTATATAAATAAAATTTTCATTTCTCATAAAAGAAAAAAGGTATCAGTTTACATATAAATTGGTGAGAAATGTGGGTAAAAGGTATAGGTTTTGCAAATTACCAGCATTAGAGAGAGATGAACTGATGGAAAAATAAGAAAAGATGCAGTAAAGCTGGGTTAGCATATGTTCCTTCGCTTTGGTATTCATAAAGGTTATGCACAGAACCTCCTCTCCTCTCAACTAAAACTTATCTTTACTGGCAGGGAAAATTTTCCCTAAATTGATACAATGAAGAATATTATGATGATGTAAAAACACTTTTGCAAGCCAATCTACAGGTTGGTAGTTTGGTATTTTTTAAAAAATAAAGAAGGGGCTGTAAATTTTTTGGGTGAATTGATGATTACCAGTTTAGTGAAGAAAGAAGAGTAGAAATCTTCCAGTCATTCAGGTTGCAGAGCCTTCAATGCACTACAAATCCCTTACGACAGCCATACAAAGGGGCTGTTTGGTTGCAGGATTTAGGCCAGATTTGAAGCGGATTTAAGTGAAATCCAGCCAAACGGCCTAAAATGCAAAACCAAATCTCACGACAAATGAAAGCTGCCGTAGATGGAAAATTCCGCCTTTTCGTACTAAATCCCAGATTTTCGAAATCCTGTTTTTTGCAGGATTTAGGAAATCCATTGGCTCCAGAGGAAGATTCTGCTCGTTAAATCCGCTCTATAGCCAAACAGTCACACGGGATTTAATAAGATTTATCGTGAATGTCACCAAACAATTTTCAGGATTTTCAAAATTCAGATTTAGAGGATTTATAAAATCCTACTTAAATCAAATCTTGGGTGCTACCCGACAGCCCCAAAGAGTTCAGATTTCCATTCAAAGCGTTATAATTCTGCACATAAAGGCATGGTGTTATAAAAGCAATAACTGCTCTCTAAGATTTTTTTTTACTATTTTTTAAAACAGTTTTTAAAGTATAAGCATAAAAATAAAAAAATTGTATTAAAGAACTGTTTTAAGAAACAATAAAAAAATTAATCCAAACGAAGCCGAAAGCTTATAATCAGTGACTACAATCTCACCGAAAGTATGCAGAATTCTTACCACCAAATTATTCACAAAGATCATAGGAATCATCTCAAAAGTAATCAACTGAATTCTATGACGAATGAAATCTGCAGTTCACTCCCTCTGTAATCAAATAATAAGCGATTAGAAGGAGCTGTCTTTCATAAATTAGCCATTAAGTGTAGGGAAGGAGTCTTAAAATCAGATCCAAGAAACCATTACCAATGAGCAAAATCCCACAACAGCAACGTCCATCTCTGAATCTATGCAGCCTTTTTCTATCTCGAACAACAATTTCTCTTTTGGTTAGAATGGAGAAGTACTTCACAGCACTATGGCAATCTCTACACATACTTATATTCTTAACAATGCGAACTGGTGCCTCCTTAGGTAACTTCAGCAGCCCAAAAGCCACTGCCAATCTCTCGCTGTGATGAACAGCTGAGCTCAATATCCTTTCCTCCTCACCTTCAGAACCATTCACATCCTTATAAGGAATATAACCCAGGCATCTAGCTTTATCAATCAAATTCTCAAGAAATACATACAACTCAGAACTCCAAGAATAAGATCTATCATCAGCTCTAAAGTAATAAATTTTATCGCGAATATTTATCCTACTACGGTCGTGGATGCTCCCAATTTTCTGTTCCTTCATCATCTTCCTCACCTTTGAAACACCTTGCCACCTCCCAGCTGATAAATACATGTTCAGTAACAGCACATATGTCTCAATCTCTTTGGGTCTTTGCTCAAGCAATCTTTCTGCTGCATAATAGCACAAATCCATATTCCCATGGGTTCGACATCCGGCGATTAGAATAGACCAAATTATCTCATTAGGCTCGAAACCCATCCTCTCCACAAACATAAACGCCTCCTCCATTTGACCCAACCTCACAAACATATCAACCATGCAAGCATAGTGGTCAATAACTGGCTCAATCTTGTACTCTTTCCTCATCATGTTGAAGTAGTGCTCAGCCTCCTTGGCCAAACCTGCATGGCTGCAAGCTGAGAGAACTCCAACAAAAGTAATCTTGTTAGGCTTAACCCCCGCCATTCTCATGTCCTCGAAAAGCTGTAAAGCTTCGATGGAACGGCCATGCTGGGAGTAGGCAGTGATCATTGAGGTCCACGAAATTAAAGTCCTAGAGGACATCTCAACAAAAGCCATGGCAGCCTTCTCTATGCAACCACACTTGTTATACATGGTCACCAATGCACTGTTCACCACCACATCTGATAAAAAACCAGTCTTCATTGCTTGGGCATGGACCTGTTCCCCTTGTTCTAGTGCTACCAAGTCACTGCAAGCACTTAGAACACTCGAAAAGGTAAAGAGATCAGGCTTCATGCCCGACTTGTGAAGCATTTGAAACATGTTCAATGCTGCCATTCCACTTCTCTGAGCTGAGGCACCATCCTTTGCAATATTTATTAACTGTGCATGACCGGCGATCATTGCATTCCATGTGATCAAACTAACAGTCTCCATTCCATTAAATATCCTCATGGCTTCTTCAGTCTCCCCTGACTTAAGGTAAAAATACATGATTGAATTCTTCATAGGAACACTGGACTCACAGCCATATTTCACACAAAAGGCGTGAACTTGCTTCCCAAGCCCAAATGACTGTGTTTCAGTACATAAACTCAGAGCGCTGGTGAGTGTGAATTCGTTAGGTAAGGCGTCTTCTAATAGCATGTCATGGAAGATCTTCAGACCCAACTCAGCATTGCCATTATCACCACAGGAAGATATAATTGTAGTCCAAGATATGACATTTTTATTTGGAATCCTTTGGAAAGCCTTCACTGCATATTCCAAGCTCCTGCATTTAGAGTACAAACTGCATAGTGAGTTCCCCATGCTGGTATCAGACTCAAGATGATACTTTATTATATACCCATGAAGCTGCTTGCCAAGCTCCATAGAGTAAAGGGACGAACAAGCATTAAAGACTGGCCCAAGTGTGAAATTTGTTGGGTAGAAACCAGACTCACGGAGTTGAATAAAGACTCGAACAGCTTCATCGGCCTGGTTATTGAGCGTGGTCCAGGTGACAATGTTTTTCTGGGGAATAACGTTGAACAGCTTGTGGGCATGGGTTGAGGCACCGCATTTCATGTAAGTGTTGACGAGGGATGTGGAGACCAGTAAATCCTCGAGGGTTCCGGTCTTCAGCACGTGTGCGTGGAGGGCTTCAGCAGCGGAAAGGACTTGATTTCACTGCATCTTTGAAAAAGAGGAGTGTACAGAGCAGGTTCGAAGGGCTGCAAGGCCTCTGTGCTCGACTCGAGTGGCACTTCTTGGCTTCGATGGAAAGAGAGGCCCTGCGATAAGAAGAAGTACTGTCATGGAGATTGCAGCGGATATTTATGATACTTCGGCAGTGGAAAGATCAAAAAAGGCTTTACCTTTTCAACTGAGGAAGAGGAAGAAGAAAGCTTCCTTGAATCAGTTTCAATCTTGTGAGCAGTACTACTGCTGATCGAAAGAGAAGGAAGAGAAGCCATCGGAGTGGAGCAGGGGTAGGAGAGGGAGAAGAAGAGAAAATTGTGAGAGGAAGAGGCATTACTCTGTTTGTGAAATCTTCTTTATCTTTGGTGGGATTTTGCATTGACATGATCGTGATTGTGTTGTGCTTCTTTTTTTTGGGAAATGATAGTGGATTTGTGTTGTGCAAGGAGAACCACATGTATGGGAATACGGGATAACGATATGCTGCTATGTTTCGTTTGGCTCTCACGTTTATAACTTCAAATATAGTAAATAAAAGAGAATTACTTTGATATTTATGCATCCAATTCAACGTCAGCAGACAGCAGTAACTATAATCTTAAAATATATAAAAATTGGGAACCTTCAATTCATGTTTGGATTCCCTCTCATACGACAAGAATCCTAAGTGGTGAGAAAATAACTACGGATCTTGCACCTGTGGGTTGGTTGCTAGTAGGCTTACCGATGAATTAGTTATGCTGTCATACACCTCCTAAGTGATGGAAGCGGATAAATTCCCCGTTTCCATATATATATATAAACCAAAAGAATTTGATTAGTCATCTCAAAAGATATTGATTGTATTCATATGCTGAATACATATAAAAATAATCGTTAAAGATTAAAAATAAGAATGAGGGATTATGGCATTTTAGCAAATTAAATAAGTAAATCAAACAATAAATCATCATGCATAAAATAAAATATTTCATTATGACATGATTATTTTAAAACAAAAATTTTCTTAAGAATGAAGGTGATTATTTCAATTTTTTTTAATGTTTGAATTAGAATGTAACAAGACAATCATTATCATGATTTTAAAAGACATGAAATGTGTAGTATTTCACCCACATAATTTGGAATCTAGATAAAGTTAAATCAATGAATTTCATTTTAGGATTAGTATGGCACAAGTACAGCTTTCCATAAAAGTGATTTTAAAATAATTTTGAAGAAATTTTTTTTTAAGTTATTATAAAAATAATTTTCTAGCACATAAATTTTTTTAGAATAATAACAAAGTAGTAGTCAAATATAATTTTAAGCTTCGTATGGGATGGCTTTCTTATTGCTTCTTAAAATATAATCGTCTCAAATGGAGCCTTAATTGCTTATAATTCTAATTAGTCAAAATATATCAACTTAATCAGCTTAGTTGTCGAATATCATTTTTAAATAGTGAATATTCAATATAAATTTTTTTTTTCAATCAATTATGTATAAACTATAAAGTGGAAGTTTTCATGGAAGTTAAAATCTAAGAAAAAAATCATCACTATGCCTCGTTAGCATTTATTTATAATTATTATTTAAATATTTCACGACTAAATGAAATAGTCGTCTGGGGATGTAGCTCAGATGGTAGAGCGCTCGCTTAGCATGCGAGAGGTACGGGGATCGATACCCCGCATCTCCATTTTTTTGGCACGCCATAATAGTAGAGCCAAATAGGTAGCACTAATAATATTTTCTTTGCCCAGTTGGAATATATTTAGATTTTTAATTTAAAATTAAAATTAAATATTTAGATATAACTAAATTCTTTTATCTTTAAATTTTATAAATGTTAAAACTTTTCATCTAAAATTAAATATTTATTTTACATTATATTTATAATAAAATCAAGTCTATGTATAAAATAAACTTTTAGTATAAACAATTTTTTAAAGCAGCAAAAAATAATAATAAAAAGTCTTTACAAATGAAGCGCATATATTTTCAATAAAATAATTAACAAAAATATTTCTATAATTTTATCAAATACATAAAGACAAATTTTCCTTTTAGGGAAAGTGAAAACTTCAATCACTTAGGACCCCTTTAATTTGCTAAAAGAAAAAGATGAAAGAATACATTTCAAAATAATTCTTGTAAATTTGAAATATTTTAGATTTGTTTAATTGAGTATAAAACAAATGCAGGAAATTATTTTTTTTTTTTTTATGTTTAATTTAGAGTAAAATAAACTCAATGTAATGTTTGACAATAGTGATCGATGATGAGAACAACAATGCTGGCAGCGTAGGGCGGTAGTGATCTCTACAATGACAGTGTTTAGGGGCGACAACAATAATGGAGGTGGTGATCCACGACATCTTGCAACCACGAGTTGTGAAGAGTTCTTAGAATATTCGAAATTAATTAAATTGATCAATTTTATAATACACAAAAAAAATGAATTAGACAATAAATTTTAAATTCATCAATGGAATACTTTGCATTTTAAATGCAACCTCTCAAAAAACCAAAATATCAAAATTTATGTATTTGAATTACTTTATACGAATAATGCAATAAACCAAACAAACTCTTAAGCAATGAGGCTGGTATATTTCCAACTATATAAAACAATAAATCATAATGTTAATTATTTTACATTACTAGAATTTTGATAAAAGTTATTGCCAATTTTCAACTACAATATTTCGATTTTTAAAAATTGAACATAGCAATTAAATTTCTGCAAAAATATTTTCAGAAAGGAAAAAAAATAAAACATTACATGACCAATTGAAAGTGTTGTGATATTATTACCATAATTTACCCATTAAATTCTTTAACGCCAGTCGTGCGGGTCACGCGTATAGTATTTTCGAGTTGAGTTCGGATTTTTGGATCAACCCGAACTCGACCTGTTTTTTCAAACGGGTTGAATTCGTGAACCTAATCCGACCCGTTTGCTTAATGGGTTGACCCTAATTTGAAATTTTTAGGTTGGGTTCGAGTCGGATCTTTGGGTCGTGTCAAATATTGACAACCCTAATAGTTATATATATATACTATTAAAATTGGACCTTTTTATATTGATATGATCATGTTATAGATATTGTTATTATATTCAATTCAATTGTATAAAAAAATATCTATTATATTATAACTCTTGTGCTTATTGCTAGCATTTTATTGTAAATTATTTTGGTAATTTTAATTTAATATAAGCTTTTTCATTAAAATTTTATCTTATGTTATGTTTTATTTACAAGTTTAAATACACGTGCACAATGTAGATGTTAATAGAACTTTAAAAAATTATAGAAATTTAATAAATTAAAATTATTATTATGTAAAATAATCATTACTAATCACAATACTAATCTTTAGCGAAAATTTTTTAGGCAAACCAACAAATATTTCTACTTAACCCTTGTTAGAACTTAGAACTACAACAATATAATATAACAAAAGAGTTGAACTATAGAAGCATGTTTACAGACTACCAAAAAAAATCTTGATACGTCATAATGAAATTATATTGATCGGGCACGAATCTCGACGCAAAAATCAAGTTGGAAACTTCAAAAATTAAATATATTTACACCCGAACCCTGATTTCAGCAAGCTTACAGTCAAACTAAGTGAATCCAACGACACCAAATTCAACTCAATCCGAGCCCAAATCGAAGACTCGAAGTGCTGTTGGAAGGTTCAAATTACAATTTGAGTTACCAAACGGTCTCCGATTTTAACGAGCTTATACTCGAATCGAACGGCTCGACGAGACGAATCCAACGAGTGCAAGATCACTGAATTTTGACATCACTAAGGCCTTCAAATGTCTGAAGAATGGTGCACGATCGTAGGATTCAATATCGGCCGTCCATTCGACCACTCCCTATTCACCCCTGATCTCAGGCCTATTTACGAGCTATGCCACTCCAGAAAAACTATAAATAGAGCCCTCATTCTTCACAAAGGGGGACCCAAGCAAGAAGAGACGAGGAAAAGAGGAGGAAGAAGCTCCTCCTTGACCACCGCCGGAACCTCGCCGGACCACCGCAAGAGTCTCGCCGGACCACCGACGGAGCTTTGCCGGACCACCACATGAGGCCCTCACATTCGCCGGACCACCGCAGGAGAAGAGGGGGAAGAGGAGGCCCTCACATTCGCCGGACCACCGCCGGAACTTCGTCGGACCACCGCCGGAGCCTCGCCGGACCACCGCCAGAGCCTCGTCGGACCACCACCTGAGGCCCTCACCTTCGCCAAAGGCCATCACCTTCGCCAGAAGCCATCACCAACACCTGAGGCCCTCACTAACACCTGAGGCCCTCACCTTCACCAAAGGCCCTTACCTTTGCTAGAGGCCCTCACCTTCGCCAAAGGCCCTAACCTTTGCTAGAGGCCCTCACCTTCGTCGGACCACCGCCGAAGACCCTCACCTCCGTCGGACCACCGCCTGACGTCATTGCTCCGCCGAACAGTCACTTGAGACCCTATGCTCAACCAAGACACCACCTGCGACCCGGACTCTACTAGGCCACTACCTGACTCCTTAAGTTCTACCAGAGTATCGCCCTACTACAACGATCTTTTAGACCCCGGTCTTCTGCCGACCACTGTCCTTCAGACTCCGGATCTCCTGCCGACTACGGTCATTCTGACCTCCGTCGCCTACTATGGCCCTTCCAACCTCCATCAACAGACAACGGTCTTTCTGACCCCATTCTCCTGCTGATTACGGTCATTCTGACCTCCGTCGCCCATTATGGTCCTTCCAACCTCCATCAACAGACAACGGTCTTTCTGACCCCAGTCTCTTGCCGACTACGATCCTTCTAACCTCCGTCGCCTACTAGTTCCTTCCGACCTCCATTAACAGACAACGGTCTTTCTGACCTCGGTCTCCTGCTGGTTACAGTCCTTCTAACCTCTGTTTGTTGCCGACATTGACCCTTCCAACCAAACAAATATGTCTATGTTGATTATTGTAACTCTCATAATATAATGCATTCTATATGATGTACATTTGTAACATTAAGCTAAGGCCTTCTCCCCAAAAAGGGCCTCATTTGTAATTGACTGCAAATACTAGTTAATTCATTCAAACTAAGCCAGGCCCCGTGGTTTTTACCCCTTTTAGGGGTTTTCAACGTAAAAGTTTTGGTGTCTCTTATGAACACTACACCCTCTCACTTATCTGATTGTGTGCTGGATCTTCGTACAATGCTAAGACGTTAAACTATATATTTCTCTACCGCCGCGAATACTCCAGGACGCAACAAATCTTTATAGACTATAATCTACTCAAAGTTTCATTGCTCTAAAGCAATATGTTTATGCAGGTGGAGGCCAGTTAAAATATCTAGAACAATTATAATCTTTGCAACTCATATGCATCAAAGTGGGGCGGCCTTGACTTCAAAG